AAGCTAAACTTCATGTTCATGTTCGCGGATGAATTAAACTGTGATCACACTGAGAGCGTGAAGCCGAGCGTGAACTCCAGTGACCTTATTTCATACTTTACACTCATACAAAAGAAAGTGTGTTATGTGTTTCACCCTCACCTTACAGTCACACTGTGATTTGGTTTGAGAGTTTAGTTTCACTTTCATTTGTAACAAAAGAAACAATACTGTAAATTCAACAATATATATAGCAGGCCTCCATCTGTATCTGTTTATGAGAGGAGCTGCAGGCTGTAAAGTTCAGGCTTGAAACACAGACTGATTAAACACATTATTTCCTACATGCGGTTGCATGTTCCCACGACGCTCCCCAGGGGACACACATCTGCGGCACAGAGGAGAACACACGGCGGGTCACCTCTTATTAAAATCATTTCATAATTCATATGTGATGTAAAGACCAAGCTAAACGCATGAACACATAACTATACAGCATTTATTAAAACATCTGCATACCTGTTGTGTCCCTGTCAGAGTTCCCTGGAGGCGCTCCACGGTCAAAGTCCAACAGAAAAAACAGGTAGGTGTAGGGCAGGTGCTTCCGGTAACCTGGAGGCTCATGTTTCACGAGCTCCCGCCTCCAAGGTATGCACATGATATGCGTTTAATGTAAGAAAATTACACATAGTTAAAAAAAAATTCGACACATCATAGTGTAAAAATAAAAATAATCGCATTTGAGGCCATTGTATGTCGTGAAAAGTCCAGTAATCTTTATTGTACTTTAGGGACTGTTCTTAACTTATCAAAGGAGGAGGGTGGCTGAGGTGTGACTTTGTTTGTTTACCCTTCCTGAAGGTACAAATATATTTCCTTGAGCTCTGGGGAAAAAGTACGACCCCCCTTCACCATAAATAAGTTATTAGATATTTAAACCTGCCCTTAGATTTTTAAATTTAAAAGGTAAAAAACTGAAGATAAAGTCCTGGAGCTGAAAAAAGCCTTAGTTTTTCCACTCTTGTCATTTGTGCTGGTTAGTGTGAACAAATGATCAATTTTTGGCCAAATGTTAAGTGAAACGTAGAACAAAGTGATTTTGATGAAATATCACTATTTTGAGCTCAGATCTGCTTCTGTTTTTTTTTTTTTAATTTTATTTTTAAGTTTCTGACTATGAAAAATGATTTTATTCTGGAATTTGAAAATAAACAAAGAAAATAAATCATCGAAATTTTGAAAAAGAATTATTATACTAATACTAATACTAATAATAATAACAACAATATCCCAGAAACTTATTAAAGCAAAAAAAAAAAAAAAAAGGCAAAAATCTTTTAAGAAAAATAAAAAAATCTTTTAAAGGAGAACAAAATTTGCCTAAAAGTTAAAAAAAAAAAAAAAAAAATCACTCTTGTCGTGCATGCTGGTTAGTTCATGCAAAAGGTTTTTTCAGATATTGTTCAGATATTCTAAATCTGATGATCATTTCTGTGTTTACAGTTTCTGGCTATGATAAATGGTGTAATGTTGGCATTTTGTAAAGAAAACATGCTGCATGTTCTCTTTACAAAATGCCAACATTTATCCCCAAAAATTATCACCAAAATTGGGAAAAATCCCCAAAAATGGGACGGCATGTATTCTTTCAGAATATGCAGTAATATATACAAACTACAATCATTTAAATTTGGATGCTCCTCCCCTGAACCAAAACATAAATCCCTCCTCAGTGCTTGAAAAAATTGACATGCCTCCCCTTTTTGCACCACCTCCTCCTCCCTCACAAGTAACAAACAGTCCCTGATCTTATTTCTAGTTTCTTATTCTCCATCTTGTCCGTGAAAAGGACGCATTGGTGACATGACAGTTCATGCACAGCAGGGGGCAGAGTTCAACTTTTCATGAATCTACACTGTGAGTGAAACAGCAGAAATGTAAAGGGACAATAATCAGATCTTCAGTAAAATACTAATGCTACACAGTGAAAGTACTCCACTGCAAGTGAAAGCTCTGCATTCAAAACACAACATGAGTAAAATTATGTAAATATTATCAGCAAAACGGACTCAAGTAGTGAAAACAAAAGTATGTGTTGCAGAAAGTTGTTTTTATATTTTATCTGATGATTTAGGATGAATATTCCTGCGATAATTTATATGCAGAAACATGAAATAAATATTACTTTACACTTCATAAGTTATTTGATCTATGTATATTATGTAGTTCTTTAGATATGCCCATTTTTATGAGCAGAGTGCAAAGGTAATGGGGTAGATATATCACTTCTTCCTCCAGCACCACTGTGGGTTTACGTGTGGTTTGCACCACACAGAACACAGTGCAGTGATGTCATTATGAGCATACAACATGATGACATGGAAGACAGAAGTCTTTGCTCTCTGCTGCAAAAAAATGAGTGTTCTAGCCATTATTGTTATTGTTTTGTTTTTAGATTGCTTTAAACAAACAATGATCTCCCATGGCCATCAACAGGATGAGCATTTTTAAAGGGTTAAGTAGAGAACTTGAGTAAATGTACTAGGAGGGAAAGAATGAAAGAAACTTCTGTGCCGTCCTCTCATTGCAGGAGGAATGCTGTCTATAATATGTTGGCGTACAGTATTTGAGTTTAACCTGATGTCTGACAAGTTTAAGGCCGACTGAAAACTGCAGATCATTGTTTAATGTCGCATCTTTTAGTGACAGTGAGCATACTGACCTAAAAAATGGCACAATTCTTTCTTTGTGTTAATTTCCCTTTGCTGAAGCTCAGCGAGAAAAACTGTTAAAGAGGGAGCTCTGTACTAAATCGACTAAATACACTGTGAATTCGAATGCCTTTATTATCACTGCATGAAGCATACAAGAAAATTTGTTGTGTTTCCTTAAGGGGAACTGTATTCTTCCACGCACACACACACACACACACACACACACACACACACACACACGCACATGCACAGAGTAAAAAGTAGAAAATTTAAATACATAAAGCAAAGCAAAGTACAGTGTGCTTGTTATTGAAATATATCATTGCTGTGAGTTCAGTTCGTAGATTTGGATAGAAGCTGTTTCTGAATCAGGAAGTACGAGTCTTTATGGCTCTGTAGCATCCTCCAGTGGCGCAGCAGGAGACCAATGATCTTTTGTGCAGTTTTTATGATCCCCTGCAGTGCCGCTCTGTCAGCTGCCGAGCAGTTTCCGTACCAGACTGTGGTGCAGTGTGTCAGTAAGCTCTCTACTGTGCACTGGTAGAAAGACTTCAGCAGTCTGGCAGAGCGGTGGGCCTTCTTCAGGGTTCTGATTAAGCAAAGTGACTGTTGGGTCTTCTTGACCACAGCAGCAGAGTTTACAGACCACTTGAGGTCCTCGCTGACATGGAGGCCAAGGAATTTAAAGTTGGGCACCTTCTCCAAACTGTCATTTCTCCAGCAGTGTTTGATTTACGAGCACACACTTAAAATCTATTTATGGTATAAAAAATGATTAAAACAACTATTAAAACATACTGTATTTGGGGGAAAAGACCAGTGGTTGAGGGTAAAATCAGATCAGTGCACCCCCGGCTTGTTGGTCTTTATATTTTGGTCCTGTCAAAAACAATCTTATAATAAATAAGTGATATTTTTATGGTTAAAATCTTGAACATTTGATTCAAAAGACCTGAATGAACAAATATAAATTAGCTGCGCAGTGTAGATGTTGTAAGCTGCTTGCTCCTCCTCCTTCTTCTCCTTCTCCTTCAAGTGTCCTAATGTCAGCTGTATCATGAACTATCCATCGGCTCCTCCTGTTGGTCTCCCTGACACAAAGATGCATGATCCTGTTGTCAGCTAAGATCCATTCCTTCAGGTTCATCTGTTATTGGACACTTTTTTACCTGTTTAGAACTCTCCTGTGTCGGCTCTCTGTCTTCTTCCTGAGGCCTCTTCTTACAAACTATCTGTTGATGATCTACATGAAACTCTTTCACTTGTATATGTTGATGTTTTCCTCTTCTTTTTGCTTTCTTTATAGGTCTTACATCAATCTACAACGGCTGTGTGTCCTGACACTCAGCTCCTCTCTCTGAGAGACTCTTAAAGAAGTCCTGTATCTGCTCTGTGACGTCTTCCTTTACGTCCAGTTGTTGTTGCACTGCCTGCTGCTGTCCTTCCTGTCTGACCTCATTGACCTCCTTTGGAGTTTCAGTAATGTCAGCTCCTTTCTTTCTCCCCAACTCCTGTTTTCGTCTCTCTTTCCACGGTATCCATTCCCTGTTGGTGGATCTCTTTGGCTGCTCTTTGGTTTCGTCCATCTTTCTCAGAGATGTTTCTTGCTGTTGTTTCTCTGCCTGGAGCTCCTTCTCTTGGTTTTGTCCTCCAGCTGTGTCTTCATGTTCTTTGAGGTCTGGTGTCTGTGTTATTTCCCCACTGACTGATGGAGGCTTATCCTCTCTTCCATCCCTCTTTCCCTCTGTTTCCTCCACTTTCTTGTTAATGTGCTCCTCTTGTTTCTCTGCTTTACTTTCTGTCGTTGTAGTTACGTCCCTCTGATCTTTGTCTTTTTTATTCTCATGTTCAGCCGTCTGTTCTGGTCTGTTGGCATCTAAAACTTGCTGGTTGTCACCTCCTTCCTGTGTTTTGAGCTCTGTCCTCTCTGACTGAAGCTTCCTCTCATTCTCCATCTTCTCTTCCTTCAGTTTCTCCTCTTGTTTCTCTGCTTCCCTTTCTGTTGTTTTCTGAATGTTACTCTGGTTTCCCTCCTGATCTTTGTCTTTTTTTTCCTCATGTTCTGCTTCTCTCATCTCCTGTTTTTTGTCTTGCAATAGACGTTGGCTGACATTTCCTTGCTGTGGTTTGAGCTCTATGTCGTCCTTCTCTGTCTCTTTTCTTTTCTGCGTCTCTGATTGAAGCTTCGTCTCGTCCTCCACTGTCGTTCTCTCAGCCTCTGGTTGTGATGGATCTCTCTGGTTCTTCTTATGTCCTATTGATCCAGAACCTCCCTTTTTCACTTGCTTCTCGTTCTTTCCCTTTACTTTCTTTGTCTTATTTCTTTTCTCTTTTTTGTCCTCATCAGTCATTGGCTCTTGCTGTGTCTCTTCTTTGTCCTGTACATCCTGATCAGTGTGGACATTTTGCGGCTGTTCTTTTTGTCCTTCAGCCTCCTCTGCCACTGGAAGTCCTGAATCTTCTTTAACTGGTTTCATCTTCTGCTCTACTCCACCCTAGACCCGATCACGTAATACTTGTCTACCTGTCATGTCCTGCTCTTGGTGATTTTGTCCTTCTGTTGCAATTAAAGGTAAATTTTCATTTTCGATTGATTTCACTTCTCTCTCTCCTTCCGTTCTGTCCATGTCTGGATTTGTCACAAGCTGATTCTGGTGTGTTTCTCTTTCAGCTCCAACCTGTGGGTCTTCATGTTCACTGTGAGACTCAATCTTCTCCTCTCCTCTATAGTCTACATTATTCTGTCCTTCACTTCCTGCCATAAGAGGTACCCTTTCTCCTTCTCCTTCCACCACAACCTGAAATCCTGTGTTATCACTTCTAGATGTGACCATCTTTTCTGCCTCCATCTGCTCAGGTCCGTCTTCGTGGCTCCTCCTCTTGTTTTCTGTGTGAAAAGAGAAGCAGGAAAGACGGGCAATGTTTGTCAAGAAATCAAAAATGATGCAACTGAGAACATTAATTAATGTGTGTCAAATTAAAATCAGATGATTTCATTGATTGTACAAGAGCACATGTTCACAATACTGTCCTTCAAATATCAGTCTGTAATCAAAAGGCAGCAGCAGGACACTGAACATGCAGAAAGAAGTGAAATCATTTTATCACTTACTGAATTTCTTGTGTCTCCATTTCCACACGACAAAGACAGCAGCAGGAATTAACACCAGAGCAGCACAGCCTATAACTGAGCCAATAATACCTTGTTGACTACCAGGAGTAACAGGAGTACTGGGAGTACTGGTAGTACTGGGAGTACTGGGACTACTGGTAGTACTGGGGACCATGAAGAAATGATCTGAAATGATAAAACACAGAAGGTGATGTTCATATGAAGTCTGAATCACATGATTAACACATATGAAGTGTGCTAACCTGGAACCAGGACGTGTGTCTCTCTGGTCTGGTTGATGTTCTTCTGATGGACTCTACAGGTGAAGTTGTTGCCGTGTCTCTTGTCCACAGTCACATTGCTGCTGACAGTGTAGAGGTCATCAGGACCTCTGAGTGTCTCTGTAGGTCCAGCAGAGAGGAGGTTTCCCTCAGCGTCCAGCCACAGCACCTCAGGCTCTGGATACCAGCCTGCAGACTCACACTGTAGAACCACTTCACTCATGGTTTTAGTCGTGTGGATTACAGGTGAGGAGACGGCACCTGAAGATGAGAGGCTTTATAAGCTTCTACAAGTGGTGGCTTCACTGAGGATGTAAACTGAAAACACTGAGTCAGGCAGACACTCTGTGGGTTGCAGTAAAGTAAAGTGCAGTGTCTGAAATAAATCTAGATTAGACTGTTTGGCTTTACAGTCTTATGAAAAGCAAACACCGGCCTCCCAGGTGACAGTCAAGGGTTGCTGGAAACATCCACCACCCATCCTAGTCAGATTTGTGCCCCTTAACTTTCGTTGTTGTCCCACTGCCTTTCCCCCTGACGGCGCTGGGCACTGTTTAACAATAACACGACCAGCTGTGTATCATGCTGATGTGAAAGGACAGCTTTTTTCATTGCTGTCTGATGCTAGAAGTCACCGACCAAGCGCCAAACTTGGACGACTTCCGAGTGAGACCGGATTGACAGGCTAACTGTTAGCATCATGGTAAATGGTAGATTGACTTGCACTTGTATAAAGTCTATCTAGTCTTGTGACCACTCAAAGCACTTTTTCATACTAAGTGTCACATTCACACACTGGTGGCTGAGGCTACTGTACAAGGTTGCCACCTGCTACTCTGTATTGGAGACTCCTTGGCTCTGATTGGTTGGAGGGGAATCCATTTATTGAGCCAAGTATGTGCGACTCCTCTACGATAGGTGGAGATATGCCCCCTTTCAGCTTGTTAGTATTGGACCTTTTTCCTGTTGACCTATTACGTCACAGACCAAACAATGGACAAACAAGTTAGCTACGGTTAGCTAGCAGCTAACTGCTACCATGGTGGACAACTTTACAGCTCTGTACATTTGGTCCGTCCAAAAAGTCACGGCTCTGGATGTAGATTTCTCCATGTTGTTACCGGCTTCTTCTTCTCTTACACATTTAATGCTATTGGACTTCAGGGTCAAAGCCCGGGGCGGAAACTGTGGAGCATGCTCAGAGCGCCTCGGCCAGTTTGGGTCTGATTGACTGTATACATGCAGGAGTCACATGATCTGGGTGTGTTAGTCCCACTGTGACACATTCGATTTATTACAATTACAATTACAAAAGTCCAGTTTTAGTTGGACGAACAGGATAAATGTGTTTTCTCTAATGTCACGGAAACGTAGTGACCATGTCCTAGCAGCAAGCGAGTTTCATCAAATATGACAAAAAGTTATTTTCAACCATTACTAACGCAAAGAAACACACAGTGTGATCACTCACCAACAACCAGCTGAACAGTCCGGGCTCTGTCTATTGCTGGAATGAAACATCTGTATGTTGCCTCATCAGATCTTCTCACGTTGGACAGTTTCAGTGAAACGTTTCCGTGCTTCAGTTCATCAGTGAACACTGATGTTCTTCCTCTGTAGGACGGATGTTTTTTACTCTCCAGTTCCACACCGTCACGCCACACCACCACAAACCTGGGGTCCAGGTCAGGTCTCGCCCACTCTACTGTCATGTCAAAGACATTCATGGCAGGGTCAAGGTGACACGGCAAAATGATGTCATCACCGACTAATGCCACTATTGGCTGAGACGGACCAATCAGCTGAGACTGACCTGAAAACAAACAGGTTTTTGATTCTGATTTCTGCAGCATGTTAAACTCTACACTTTGGATGACTTACTTTACGTTAACATAAACCAGAGTGTCAGTGTGATTCACCTGTACATGAGTGTATCAGGGCGAGGAAGACAACAGGGTGGAAAAGCAGGACAGTGAAGGCACCAAACTGGAAGTTCAGAGACTGTCTGTCCGTCACATGAAGCATCCTGGAGCTCTGAAAACAGAAATGAAACATTATGAATACAGAAAAATACTTCATGTACAGCACATTGTTGAAACAGCTTTATACTTCAGTACTTTTGCCAATGACGTGAGAATCGCCTATAAACGTGATTTTGATCCGATGACATGTTTCAGAAATCTGCTACAGAAACAAGACATCACTTCTGTTTGAGGTCTCACAAATCATGATTAAGTACAACTGTATTTGTCTGACTGCACTTTCATATTTCATTCACATGAGGTCTCCACTTCTCTGACATCTAATTTACCACAGATAGCAATATAAACAGGGCTGCAGCTAGTTATATCTTTATTATGTGCCAGTTATTTTCTTGATTAATTGATTATTTATCTAGTCTGTAAAGTGTCATCAAACACTAAAAAAATAAATCACAATTTTAGTTTAGTTTAATTTCAGTTAACCGTGTATATTTTCACTTGAATTACTGCATTGTGGTTGCAGCATGCCTTTGTAAACTGGTCAAGTAACAGTTCACATCCACGTCAGACTCATGTGTAGCCATGACAGTTGGCAAAGCTTCAACCCGGCAGCACAGAAGATCTGTACAATCAGCACAGTTTCTAGATGGGCACCAAAGATTAGTGTCACCAGTTCGGTATCAAACAAAATGTTCAAACAAAGTTCATCCTCGAGTCCAAGTGGAGCTTTGTGCCAAGAAATTCCTGCAAGGCGTTCTTGAGCAACGAGGTCTCTCCGAAGTCGTCCAGATCTGGTGATTGTGCAGTAACTTGTAGACACAGAAGGAAAAAGACGTCCTTTATCGTCTGATGATACGCAGCCGGTCGACATTATAGTTCAGTGGGTTAGGGTTAGGTAGAAGAATGAAATTTTAACGTGCCAAAAGCCCAAGGTGAGAAGGCAGGAGGGGTGGTGGACTCTACAAACACTGACTTTCACCCAGGAGAGTGGTGTTCACATCCCTTAAGATTCTAAAGCCAAACCCTGTTGTTCTTTTTTCGAACCCTTGCCACATGTTTTGTTGCCTAAACCAACACATTCTCACTTCGACCTCGTCACGGTCATGGACTTTCCACATAAGACGTCCAAGGTACCCTGGGTGTGTTGGTTGTTGACTCTCTAGGATGTCGTGTCAACTTCAGCCTGTTACATGCATTGTCTTCTTTAAAAATATACCTCTGTTTTCACAGGAAATGTACAGTTTGCATTCAGTCTCTTGCAAAATAAACTCACTATTTCAGTACAACATCATGAATTTGTGTTTTTTTCCTCTAACAACAAAAACACATGGTTAGGCTTTGGAATCTTACGGGACATGAACATCGCTCTCTCTGATGAAAATCGATGAATGTTGGACCCATCCACCAACCCTCCCACCTGCCCCAGTCAGACTTTTGCTGCCTTAACATCCGTCCTTTGCCGCTGCTGGGCGCCATTAAACTATAAGGTATCATGCTGACGATAAAAGGACGCCTTATTTCATTGGTATCTGACACACAAGTCACTGCCCAAGCACCGGATTTTGATGACCTCGGAGTCCCAATCCAACCACCTGCGTGTGTTGTTTGAGGAACCAAACCATCAAGTTGCGGTGTTGTCCTGACGTAGTGCTTTTATTTTGAAAGAGACTGTATGCAAACTGTACATTTCCTGTGAAAACAGAAGTGTATTTTGAAAATAGACAATGCATGTAACAGGCTGAAGTTGACACGGCGTCCCAGAACGTCAACAACCAACACACCCAGGGTACCTTGGACGTCATATGTGGACGTGGAAAGTCCATGACCAAACATGGACATGTGACGAGGTCACAGTGAGGATGTGTTGTCTTAAGATATTGAAAAGAATGGGACAAATGCAAAGTTACAGCAACCTTGACCTTTGACCACTTCAGCAGAATCAGTTCATCGTTAAATCCCAGCAGATGTCTGTGCCAAATTTTAAGAAATTCGCTGACGGTGTTTTTGAAATATTCCCTTAACGAGAGGGGAACAGACGGACTGATGGACTACTCAAGAACATAACGCCTCTGGCCACAGCTGTTGCCGGAGTGGAGGAACAAAACTGGAAGCATACAGCAGTCATTTCTGCAGCTCTTCTTCCAGTGGCAGCAGAGGTGGAGGTTGTGCTCAGATCTTTAGTTATGTAAAAATAGCAGCACCACAGTGTATAAATACTACATTACAAATCCTGCATTGAAAATATTACTGAAGAAAAAAGTATGAAAATATTAGTATCAGAATGTACTTAAAGCACCAAATGTAAAAGTACTCATCGTGCAGAACGCCTCATTTCAGAATTATTGTATTATTATTTTTGATGTATTAATGTTCTTCACTTTAATGCTGCAGCTGGTAAATGTGGAGCTCTTTTTAATGACATTATATTCTGCTGGAGAGTTTGTGAATGTCACCTGGAAATCACTAAAGTTTTATCTCTTATCCAACTATAGTACGTCATGATTTTTTTGTATAATAATATGAATCTAGAAAGTGCTTTATTTGTCTCAGAGATGTAGGGTAGAAGTATAAAGTGGCAAAACTGTATTGAGGCACACCTGACAAAATGCACTCAGGTGTGTAAGATAGAGAAAAATGAGGGAGTGAAGTCAATTTAAACAAAACACACAAGTTCAAATATCAGTGCAGACATTTCTACTCTTCATGTTTCACAGTGTCAGTGAAGCCTGTGCGACACAAACATGAAGGTGCAGCTGCAGAGCAGGAGACAGGGAAACGTTGGATTTATGATCACTAAACAAACACCTGCCGTGTGACCGCGCCCTCTGCTGGTCACAAAGCTAAACTTCATGTTCATGTTCGCGGATGAATTAAACTGTGATCACACTGAGAGCGTGAAGCCGAGCGTGAACTCCAGTGACCTTATTTCATACTTTACACTCATACAAAAGAAAGTGTGTTATGTGTTTCACCCTCACCTTACAGTCACACTGTGATTTGGTTTGAGAGTTTAGTTTCACTTTCATTTGTAACAAAAGAAACAATACTGTAAATTCAACAATATATATAGCAGGCCTCCATCTGTATCTGTTTATGAGAGGAGCTGCAGGCTGTAAAGTTCAGGCTTGAAACACAGACTGATTAAACACATTATTTCCTACATGCGGTTGCATGTTCCCACGACGCTCCCCAAGGGACACACATCTGCGGCACAGAGGAGAACACACGGCGGGTCACCTCTTATTAAAATCATTTCATAATTCATATGTGATGTAAAGACCAAGCTAAACGCATGAACACATAACTATACAGCATTTATTAAAACATCTGCATACCTGTTGTGTCCCTGTCAGAGTTCCCTGGAGGCGCTCCACGGTCAAAGTCCAGCAGAAAAAGCAGGTAGGTGTAGGGCGGGTGCTTCCGGTTACCTGGAGGCTCATGTTTCACGACCCCCTGTGCTGCAAAGTGTTCAAAGTTGTGGCGGAAAACAAAATGATTTCAGACTTTCTTTATGTCATGGTTTTATTTTATTTTAGGGACTGTTCTTCACTTACCAGAGGAGGAGGGTGGCTGGGGTGTGACTTTTTTTTTTTTTTTTTTACCCTTTCTGATGGTACAAATATATTTCCTAGAGCCTCCCTGAGTACACAGGGGGAAATGCAGCATGACCCTCCCTCTACCTGAATTATTATTATTATTATTGTTGTTATTTTATTAGGCTATTCTTTTTATTCTGAAGGAAGCTTTCATTCCACATTATGTATCCAAGGTCAGTTAGAGATTTAAAATCCAATGATAGTTTCTGTTTTCACATTTTCTGGTTATGATACGTTTTTTTCATTTAAAAAAAAAAAATGAAAGAAAAATTTAACAAAAATTTTCAAATAAAAGAAAAAAACTGCTGGAAATGTTCAAAGAAACAAACAGCTAAGAATGTTTATAGAAAAATAAAATTGGATTTTTTTTAAAAAGGAGAACAAAAATTGCCACAAAGTTTTAAAGAAAAAAAAAGCACCTTTTTATAAGTATAAGAAAACATGCCTTTCAAAAGTGAGGTGTGTTTGGAAGGCATGTTTTCTATAAAAATGACCTTTTTTGGTTTAAAGAAAAGCTCAGATCTAGTTCTGTTTTATTTTCTGATGGAAGCATCTGTCACACGTGATGTGTCCGAAGTCAGCTGGAAATGTAAAATCCAATGATAATTTCTGTTTTAATTTGTAAGAAAACATCCTCCCAAACCCACGTTTTTTTTTTTTTAAACTGCCAAAATTTATCCCCAAAAAGTTGGAAAAATTGCCAAAATGTGGAGGGCAACTTTAAATTTGGATAACCCTCTCCTCAGTCAAAATAAAAAAGTGCTTAAAGCTTCCCAAGTGCTTAAAAAACCTGACATGCCTCCCCCGTGTTGCACTCCCCCTCTCCCCTCAAACAGTCCCTTGTGTTTTGTCTTTTATTTCTTTATTAATATAAATTACAAACAACAAAACAAATAATTTTTTACTGCAGAATTACAGCTCAAACCTCGCGCTGATGCTGCTCTAGTGATTGTGGTTGCAGGCTGGCGAAACACCCTGGTGCTGACTATTTGCTGGAATGTACAGCCAGTCGGTGGTCTGATCTCATGCTGCTCATACGGCATCGCATAATAATTGCAAGCACAGCTGTTGTTTGCCATTCTGTTCTCCTCTCCTCACATTTTGAATGACCAATATTCCCCCACTGACATTTTCATCCTGTTTCATCTTGTCAACGAAAATGAAACAGATTGTATGTGTATTTTTTTTATTCATTATCACAGTCTGCTGGTCCTTATCACTGAACAACACAGGTCACTGATGGATAATTGTCATCATGGTTTTTGTTAATGAAATTAACACTGGAAGGTATTAAAGATGATCATGGTGAGATGAGCTGGAAGTTTTCGGAGGATTTCAGCCCCATGTCAGGGTCTTTATCAGAGATATGAGATGTATACACTTAAAGACATGTCTGAAACACTTTTTGGGCCTTTTGAAAGCAGCAGATCATTATCAGGATGTATCATTTTTGTGACAGTGATTAAGTGCAAACTTTGTTTTTTGAGGTCAGAGTAATAAAGGTTAGATTGAAGAAAAGAATCTGAGACCAGCCTGTTTAATGCTCCAGCTTTTTAATTGTGCATCATAAATTGGTTTGTGCTAAAGCGTTCGTTTCATAACACATTCAGTCTCCTCTTATTGAAGAACAAAGAGGAAGTCCAGCTCCTGTTTACGTCTCTTGTCGCTTCGTCCCTTCAGCAGCGTTACAGCCAAACACAGAATCAAAGATGTGATTAAGCATGAGACTGATGGCACAGAGACAAACACACTGTTACTCCTACAGCAGATGTTTGTGTGTGTGGTTGGTCCAACATGTCTCTGTGTGTCAGCACAGGAGCTACTACAGGCTGTAGGCACAGACAGATGGCAGTTTGGAGGAACACTCATCTTCATGCCAACAATCTTCACCTGTGAACACAAGAAACACGCGAGTCAGTCACAGCTTCAGTTCCCCTACAAAAGGAACATCAGCGACACTGAAGGCCGAATTTTTTAGGAGCACAGAACAGGAAGCTATGTGTATACTGGACACAGTCATGAAAACAACACAAAATGTCAAGTGATTTGGTAAATTCCACATGTTGCTTAACAGTTTGTGTTGTTTATCACCCTTCAGATGCTACCAGGCAACACTGTTATTTAAGACGCTCTTTTTTTGTTTTTAACTCTGACTCTGTTCAGACATCAGGGTAATTAAAATATTGATATATACCTCCATGATTCATCTGAAGACAGCCTGAAGTATTACGTTGCCCTGCACACCAGAATGTCCAGAAGAAAATACTGCCATCACTCCAGAGCCAAGTGTCTTTCTGAAAGAAGAGAACAGAAAAGATTTACTAAAAAAGCTGCATCCTATCAGTAATCAGACCTGCTGTAGTGATAACTTACCTGCTGGCAGTCAGAGCCTCCAATCCAGGTTTCACGACTATCCTGAGTGATTGTCCGTATCATCTTCTGAATGAACTGATACTCATGGTGATTGTGCACTGATGCAAGGTGTGACTTCAAGTTCTTGCAGTTTCTCTGCAGGACAGACAGACAGACACAGACCAGATGTGAAGCTGCACTCTAATCAGAGCTGGGCCAAGGCACAAGCGAACTAAGCACCTGCTTAGGGCCCCGTGACCACTAGGGGGTCCCAAGAGCAATTCACTTGAAAAAATAAAAAAATAATTATTTTTTTCCATGCGTGAGTGATGATGATTCATATATTATCAAATGTACGTTGTTGTACAAAAAGACAATATTATGTTAACAGAGCGTAGTTTCCTACGGCCTCTAGGAGGCTAGGAGCAGGTGGAAGGCCTAATAATGTCGCAACACAGGACATAGCTTTCAAGGGCAGAAAAAAGAAAAAGGAAGAAAGAGGAAGAGGAGAAAAAAACGACAAGATAAAGATATGTTTGCATGTCTCGGTAATGTAACGTTTAGTGTCACAGAGATTTTGAAAAGTTTCCTCAAATTAGGAAAGTCCCTAATTATTGTTGATATTTTGTTCCAACTACGTTAACCTATGATAGCAAATTCACTAGCTAACGTTAGTTCAAAACTAGAGACATTTCTCTTTTAAGTGGAAGGTTAGATAGCTTACTATTCAAGCTAACGTTTTTGTGTTTGTGTAATACTTTGAATAAGTTGATTCTCGGTATATATATTCTGGGTCACTTTTTGGCATCAAAACAACATTTTTGATAACGTTTGATAGCAAATGTTTAATAACAACTAACATTAATTACAGACGCGGTGACGTTTGCTAGCAATATGTTTTTGCATTAATGAATTAACTTATAATAATGTCGCAACAAAGGACATGCCTTTCAGGGGCAGAAAAAAGAAAAAGGAAGAAAGAGGAAGAGGAGAAAAAAACGACAAGATAAAGGTATGTTTGCATTCTCTGTGTGGCCAGTAGGGGGAGTTGCTGATTTTTCAACAAGTTTGCAAATCTGTTGTCTGCTTCCATGGCCTTAATCACTGTGGATTACAATCTAACTACAACAAAAAGTTCTCACATCTAGTTTTACAAGTGATGACAATAGAGGGCCCCAAAATCAAATTTTGCTTAGGGCCCCATGGAGGCTTGGGCCGGCCCTGACTCTAATACTGTACATTTGCTTGTCTCCTTCACCAACAGAGGGGCGGAGGTTTGGCTCAGATATTGGGCTGGTTGAAGTTTATTTTTGTAGAAGAGGTAATGGAAGACTACTTCAGTCTTCAAACATGGAAGTTTTGCAGTGTTTAACTTCACTGTTGTTCTGTTGTCTCTGCTACGTTGGCAGATTTAATTTGAAGGATTTGTCTTTGGTCACATTTACTTGATCATTAGCAATGCTAGCTGCGGATTCCCGTAGCGCCACCAGCAGGTCAATGAATCCTCTGACTTTTCTTCAGAGGCAGCATGTCCGTGACTTCGACTGAAATCTCCAAACTATCAGATGGACTGTAAATAAATGTGACTCAGACATTCGTGTTTCCCTCAAAATGAATTGTAATAACTTTGGTGATCCTCGCACTTCTCATCTAGTGCCATCATCAGGTCAATTTTAATTTTAATTTGTTGTATACTTTGGTTTGTGACCAAATATCTGTGAAAGTGATGAGATTCCTGTTCTTAATGTTTCAACTCATAACTCCATAACTGCCAAACACAAAAGCAAAAGTTTTGTTTACTGAATTATTTGGTTCTAGTCAAATCAAATGTTTAGGCCCCGCCCCTTTCCACTTAAACACATTTTCTAGTTTAAATGTTTTTCCAACTTCTTACATTTTCACCATATTTGGTCCAAATCTGATTTGCAACCTTTTGAATGCAGCATGTCATTGAAAGCAAATGGAAATGAAAGGTGTACATATTTCAGTGTAATAAATAACCAGAGGAACCTGGAGACACCAAGTCAGGGTAAAATGCTGAATAATCAGCTGTGCAAGTCAACATCAGCAAATTAAAACTGGTGCAGAAATGTTTCACTGAATCCAAAACATCCTGATTACCTCAGCTGTAGCCCAGGACAATACTCTCGGAATGTACTGGAAACAGCGACCTTCAAACTCGTGCCAACCATCGCGACAAGTAGGAGCTACAGGAACGTCAATTGAACGTTCTGCAGTGTCAGCTGTAGGAGCTTCAGGAGCATCAGTTGCATGAGCTTCAGGAGCATCAGTTACATGAGCTGCAGGAGCCGCAGCATCTGGTTGACAAACAGTATTGTGAGTGATGTCATAACATTGTGTCATTTAACAGCAAACAGAAGTGTAGCTGCAGAGTGTGAGGGCAGGAGGTCATCAAGACGAGCCCCCTCCTCTTTGATCTGTTGACTTTGGCTCTGGTCACATCAGTCTGTTTATAGAAGCTTTGCTCTTTG